CCAGCGACGGTGCTGTGAAGAAAGTCTCCAAGGCGGAGATTGCCGAGCAGCTTAACCAAAGTGAGAAGCTGCTAACGGATCTCAACCAGACCTGGGAGCAGAAACTGGCTAAAACGGAAGAAATTCATAAGGAGCGTGAGGCTGCACTCGAGGAGCTCGGCATCAGCATCGAAAAGGGCTTTATTGGACTCTCCACTCCCAAGAAGATGCCCCATTTGGTCAATCTCTCGGATGATCCGCTGCTGGCTGAATGTCTGGTGTACAACCTCAAGCCAGGGTTGACCACGGTCGGGAACATGGACACGAATGCCGACAACCAAGCCAACATTCGCCTCAACGGGACGCGAATATTGCATGACCATTGTGCATTCGAGAACGCGCCAGACGGTACAGTAATGGTCATTCCCAAGGAAGGCGCCTCTGTCATGGTCAACGGTAAACGGATTGAGGAGCCTAAGCAGCTACACTCTGGTTACCGAGTCATTTTGGGCGATTTCCACATCTTCCGCTTTAACCATCCCATGGAGGCCCAAAAGGAGAGAGCGGACAAGAGCCTCTTGCGCCAGTCTGTCACAGCCAGCCAACTTCAAAACCTCGAAAAGGGCGCACCTACACCGGCAGTCAGCCCTCGCCCAGGACATGAACGGAACTGGAGCAGAGCCGGTTCGGATTTCGGCGACAGTCGGCCGGACTCTCCCATTCCGTTCCGTACCGGGCGCGATAACGACTGGAGCTTCGCGAGGCGTGAGGCAGCAGAGGCGATCCTGGGCCCAAATCAAAACCTAGCTAGTCTCACGGACGAGGAGCTTAATGCCTTGTTTGAGGGTATTCAAAGAGCGCGTGCTGAGCGTGTCAACGGCCGGGAGGGCGACGATGATTCGGAGTCAGTCACTTCGTACCCTATCCGGGAAAAATACATGTCGACTGGCACCCTTGATAATTTCTCTCTCGATACTGCGCTCACCATGCCATCGACCCCCAAGCAGGGTGAAGTGGACGACAAGCTCAGAGAAGTACGCGAGGAGATGCAATCTCAGCTCGACCGGCAAAAGGAGGAGTACCAAGACCAGCTCAAGACGGCTGAAGCCGCCAATGTTGAAGTGGAGGAGATCAAGAAGGAGAAGGCTAGGATGCAGGAGACATTGCAGGCACTCAAGGAAGACATGCAACAACAACTGGAGGTCCAACGCCGCCAATTCGAGGAGAAAATCCAAAAGATGGATCCACTGAAGAGACCAAAGGCCAATCCCAAGCTCTCCGACGAGGAGATGGAGATCGCCAAGCAGGTCATCAAGCACTGGCGCACCAGACGCTACGTGCGAATGGCCGAGGCGGTCCTCCAGCACGCATCAACGTTAAAGGAAGCACAGATCATGAGCAACGAGCTCGACGAAGGCGTGGTCTTCCAATACACTGTCGTCGACCTTGGTCATTCTCTCTGCTCTACCTACGATATGGTTCTCAATGGCTTGACGGGCGAAGGGGACGACATCGCTCTCGACGAGGCCCAGAAGCCATGCATCGGCGTTCGTGTTGTCGACTACAAGAACAGTGTCGTCCACTTGTGGAGTCTCGAGAAGCTCCACGACCGAGTTCGCCAAATGCGGCAAATGCACCAATACCTCGACCAACCCGAGTACGCGCAGCACCTGAGCCTCGACAACCCCTTCATCGAAACATGCATGCCGCAGTACACTCTTGTAGGGGAAGTGGACGTGCCGCTGAAGGCTGTTTTCGAAAGCAGAGTCCAGGACTTTGCGCTTGATGTCCTTTCTCCACACACCTCCCACGCTATCGGCATGATCAAGCTTTCCTTGGAGCCATCACACGCTCGGGCGCCCTCAAATACGTTGAAATTCAACGTTGTTATGCATGAGATGGTAGGATTCGCCGAGAGGGAGGGCACTGAGGTTCACGCTCAGCTTTTTATCCCCGGTGTGTCCGAGGAAGATGGTATCACGACTACTCAGATGGTAAAGGACTTTGACGAGGGACCAATTCGATTTGAGAGCGTGCACAGCATGAGCGTCCCTCTCTTCAGTCCGCAAAACGTCACTCTCCGGGCAGCCATCTTCGCCAAAGTGTCCACCATGCACCTAGACAAGCTATTGAGCTGGGACGATATGAGGGATGCCGTACCCGTGTCCCAAGGTAAGCCCAAAGGCGCAAGGATTGCGGAGTCCCAGTTCTATACCGAGGAGAAGCATGATCTGCTGGCAAGGATACAGATCCTCGAGCTCAACGAAGAAGGAGAATATGCGCCCGTCGAAGTCGCGCAGACGAGCGAGATGGACGGCGGCACTTTCCAACTCCATCAGGGGCTGCAGCGTCGCATTGCCATCAATATCACGCACAGCTCTGGCGATGCGTTGCCCTGGGACGATGCGATGAATCTCAGAGTAGGCAGGATCCAGCTCCTGGACCAGGCGGGAAAGTCTCCAGACATGACTTCCACGTCGCCAACCATCACTCTCAAGCTCGCCAATAAGCCCGCTTTCCGCGACAACGCCAACGGCACCCGAAGCATTACACTCACCGGCCAGTGGGACTCCAGTTTGCACAACTCTCTGCTCCTGGACAGAGTCACCGCAGATAAGTACCGCGTTCAGATGACAGTGGCCTGGGAAATCAGCTCCAACAAATTTGCGGAGCCGATGAAGTTTGCAATGCGTGTCTGCTGTCAGATCATGTCAAGATCCTGGGTACGACAGACGTCAATGTTTTCCTCGCTGTGGCAAAGCGTCCGGTTTGTTCATGCGACCAGCGGTATCTTTACGCTCTCCATGCGACCTGCACCCATCAAGAGAGCAGGTGACCTCTGGAGGATGAGCAGCCAGCACGACTATGTCAAGGGAGAAGAACAACTCACTACATGGACTCCTCGTGGGGTTTCTCTTGTCAGCGACTTCATCCTTGCTCGTAAGAAAAGAAGCCGGATCGCTGAGATTGGGGCCGCGCAGACTTGGATCAAAAAGATCGGCCTGCCCCAGCCAAGCCTACAGCCAGAAGAAAAGGAGACGCAAGAGGAGGACCTGCCCCCTCAGCCAACGTATCAAAATGACGATGATGACTTGTTGAACGACACACCGGAGAGCTCGCAGGTGCCAGAGGACGAAGAGCTTGCTGACGGAGACGGCCAAGGCACCCCGCAACCTGAAGAAGAGACGGGGACAGCGCAAACGTCTCAGGAACCAGAGATTCCGCAACGGGAGAGGCAAATACTCGAAAAGTGCATCAGCCTCTGGCACAAATACCCAGACCCACTGCTGCAAATCCTCAGCCCGAGCAACACAGATCCACCTACGGATGGCTCTGTACCGGAAGCGTCCGCTCCGCCGAGTCTGATCCCAACGATTATCAGAGTCCCCAAGAACCCAAAAGTGCTCAAGGGAGGCTATCTCCTGATCCCCAATAGCAGCTCGACAAGATGGGTCAAGAGATTCGTTGAGTTGAGGCGGCCATACCTTCACATTCACTCTGTCACCGATGGGGACGAGGTGGCCATTGTTAGCTTGCGAAACTCGCGTGTTGACAGTCAGCCTGGCGTTATCGGCTTGCTGTCCGGCGACGATGACGATGTGGGCTCCCAGAATAACGGCGGCAGTGAAGAGTTCCGTCCAAGCCACCGGCGGACTGCTTCCGGGCGTGTCATCTCTACCATTTGGACGGGCACCGGAACGGGCGGTGCAGCAAACGGCGCGGGCGGTGGTGGCCTGCAGAGGCTGAGTGAGCGACTGCAAGCCGGCGTATTCGCCATCTATGGTACGGACAACACATGGCTATTCGCCGCGCGCAGCGAGCGTGACAAGATGGACTGGATCTTTCGCATCGACCAGAGTTACTTCTCGGGAAGCGACAGTACAACTGGTAGCGGTGCAGGAAGCCCTGACAGATACGACGACTCGCTCATCGGCGGGTATTGAGCCAGCCTGACAACCCGAAGATCATTGACGAGTTTTTTTTTCTTTCTTTTCTTCTCTCTCTCTTTCTTTTCTTCTCTCTCTCTCTCTTTTCTTTAAGACCGAACGACCTTGTTGTTTTTTTATTCTATCTCCCAGTCTAGAATGGATCACGTCGGTTTGAAACAACGACGTCGCATGGGCAAGGGCTTATGGTCACATCATCAGCCGCAGATTTCCCTTTGTTCCGTTTGCATAACTCACGACGACGAATTGCACTATACCCTCTATGACTTGGAAACGGGAAGCGCGAAGAACGGGAGAGGGGATGACGAGCCGAGAGGGGGAATGGATGGGGCGATGCCTTTGACCGAGGAGGATTGGTAGAAAAGGGCGAGTGCGCACATAGGACGAGACTGGGATTCGGAGCAATGATACAAAATCTAGACAGACAGAAGTGCTGACTTTGGGAAGGGATGCGAAAAAGGGGCGGCCCAGTGAAGAGGCGTGATTTTTGCTTTTCAGGGTTGTGGTGGATATGCTGGATATGCTTGCAGCACGGGCTTGCACGATAATATTCTCCGGTCACTGCTGCGGCAGCGGTAGTACATAATTTTACGAACACATATGTAATGACTAAACGGTTCGAAGCCAAGGAAAGAAAGTCTGGCGCGGTGATGAGAGATGGCCAGGGGTGAGCACAAAAAGTCGGCGAGGTTAGGTCGGAAGACTGAGGCGCATCTATTCCGGTCAGTGCCCGTATCGAGCCGTCTAGAAGTACATCTACCGCGCTTGGAAATGACGCGCAGCCGCGGCATTGTCGATGAATTCCTCCACAGATGCCAAACGCCATTCTCCTGCATTCCCGTGCGGCCGTTCCTGATAAAGCGCCAACGGGGTGTACGCGTCTCGTGCACTGCGCGGGAATAGCTGACGCAGATGACCGCCACCGCGAGTCGCAGAAATCGGGGTACGTAAACCCGCGTATCTCACGCCGCTGAGTGAGTAGATGAACGAATAAAAGGACGATGGAAAATGAAGGTGCATATGCCAAAAGAACATGACGCGATTCGTAAAAACGCAAAAGGCCGGAGGATGGGATCACAGCTTTGCGGATTCGCCGACGGTGCCAATCTTGAGCTTGCCGCCGTACTTCTCGAGGACCTTTTCGTTGTGGTACTTCCAGAAGACCTTTGTCGCGTCCTTGCCGGCGAAGCGCTTGAGAATCTTCTCGCCGCCGGGGTGCTCTGACTGGAAGGCTGGGGAAGCACGGGGCTGTCAGCATTGCGAGAGGGGGAAGAAGGGAGTCGTCGGCGGAGATTTGAGGGGGACGGGAAGAAGGCGGTGGAGAAAGGGGCGAGCGGAGTGGAAGAGCGCTGCTCTCTTACCGGTGATATCGTAGACGCCGTTCTCGACGATGATCCACATGTCCTTCTCGGTCTTGTGCTGGGCGACCTCCTGCGTGGTGAACGTCTGGGACATTTTGGCGGTTTGGGGGTGGGGGTTTAGAGGTGAGACTGGTGGCGGAACTGTCGGGCCGCGAGACGAGCTCTGTGTGTGTGTGTGTGTGTGTGTGTGTGTGTGTTTGGTTTGGGATGTGAGTTGAGTGACGAGATTCGAATGGTTGATGGTAAGGAGAGGAAGAGTAGGAAATGATGTGGTTTCTAGAAGAAACGTCAACCAACACACAGAAAAATAAGGAGCCCGAGGTTCTGGGTGTCGTCGCATGCACACGCCGGTCCGGTGTATATGTGTGTGTGCGTGCGTGCGTGCGCACGCGTGCTGGTTCATCTTGCAGTGAGTGACCAGTGAGCGTGGCACGAGTCAACTTACCTCGGCTCATCTAGGCGCGAACAGCCGCCCAACGTCATTTCGGTCCGCTGATTGGAGTGTCTGTAAGGGGGGACGTGGGGGGAGGGGGGTAAGTTCCCCGCCCCGGACGGAGCCAGGTAGGCAGGTCTGGAGTAAAGATGCGGGAGCAAATCACAAGGATCGAATTTCTCAGCCCGTATGGATTTTGGGAGATCTAGGGAGATCCGAGGCTTTCCCCCCCCCCCCCCCCTTTCCTACACATAAGCATTTCTTTTTCTGGAGAAATGTTATAAACTTCTACAATGACATATGCGACCGCCAGAGAAGCCGGGGTCATGGACGAGTTAGGCATTCTCTCTGATCTTCCCCGAGTCAGTTTGGCTTTCTATCTTTATTTTCTTTTGTTTGTATTAAGTTCAAAGCCCACCCCGCCGTTACGGCGTGCAACGTGGTCCACGCTACATGCAAGGCAATACTTTGAAATGAGATGACGAGAGGAGAGGCGTCGCCTCTGTGTGGTTTTAGGATTGACTACCTATGGAACTACCGAGGCACCGACCATCGGGCTCGTGGGACCCTTGTTTCCGTCACCGTCCGCGTCTTTGAACGGGTTCAGCTCGGCGCCCATGGACGACTTTTTTGCCCGTCGCCCCCTCCCCCCGACTGTGTCCACACCGGTCATGCCGGAGCCGAGCCGAGCCAGGGCTGTTGCTAGCATGTGCGACGCTCGTCGAGCCCCCCCGCCTGGCCGGCGGCGCGGTCAACCTAAAGAACGACGCAGGGGCGTTCGCTTGGGCAGGTAGGTATGAATGGCCGAATCCTATGCGTGATCCCACTTGCATCCCATGGTCGAGTCCGACCCTGTCGCACAGCTGTTCGCAGGAAATTATGTATATGAGCAGCGGTACTTTGAGTATCTACTTATGGATGACTGCTGTGCTGCACCATGGGGTTGCCCATAATATCGTGCCCATAGTACCTCCAGGGCACTCTTCGCAGCAAGGCCCCTCTGGACTGCAGGGGCAACGTGGGGAACATGGATGCTCTTCGACGACAATGCTGTCGTAACCCAAGAGATGCGAGACGCCACACGGGGTGAGTAGGCACGCGATCCGATTACGAAGGTGAGAGATTGCTATAGGTATCTTGTTACAGAAGCGCTGTAGATGTTGGTGACATGGTTAACAATGCCGAGTTGTACACATCCCGGGGGAATATGCCGAGGGAGGGGGGGGGGAGAAGCAAAACAAAAAAGAAAAGTCTACCGTGTCGTGGCTCCCAACCCGCCAGCGCACCGGAAATACCGTAGCCAACGCCGTGCCGGCCTTCTTGTGCCCATACCAGACCCGGCTAGAATTGCGAAATTATAAATCCCCGTTCCAACGCCCGTCTAAACATGTCGGCGAAGCTGGCCGTCCCGTTGCAGTCGCTGGCCTCCCACCTTTCCATGGCTTTGGGCATCCATTCCTTGCACTTCTCGAGTCGGTGTTCGTTCTGGATGGCGCAGTCGTCAGCACCGCCGTCTTCGCCAAATCGTTCTTCGGCACCGCAGAGGACGTGCAAGCCCAGGGCTCAGAAGGGGGGAGGGGAGGGGGGGTTGTATGGTAAACATCGAGACCTACGGAAGGATGTGTGCTCAAGATCTCGGGCACCTCTGTCTGCTCCCTCTTGGCCTCGGCGTCCATGCGTCTCCAAAACGCTATGGCCTCGCGCGGATCGTAGCATGCCTCCGCCATGAGCATCATCCCGATGTAATCGGCCTCGCTCTCCTGCACCCGGCTCATGGGCCGCGTGAAGAGGAAATCCATCAGCCCCGACGCCAGGTACTGCGTGAGTATGATTGCCGGCGGGAAATACCCCGACAGCACGACGAGGCCCCCCAGAAAAAACTGGGACAGGAAGGAGGAGCTCATGCGCTCGCCGACGTGCTGCGCGAGGTTGTGCGCGATCTCGTGGCCCAGCACGGCGGCCAGCCCGTCCTCGTTGCGTGCCGTGCGGAGGATTCCGCTGTGCACGAAGACCTTGCCGCCGGGCAGCACGAAGGCGTTGAGCGTGTGCGGGTCGTCGATGACGCGGACCTCCCACTCCTGGCCGTCGAGCCCCGACACGGGTATCAGGCGGCGCATGACGCGCGCCACCATCTGCGACCGCGGGTCCCACGACGGGAGGAACCGGCCGCCCTGCGACTCGATCTCGTAGAGGACGCGCCTGAACTGCTGATCCGAGAGGCGGTTGATGGACGCCTCCGAGTAGCAGTTGAAGCGCCGGCGGCCCGAGACGGGCACGGTCTGGAAGTTGTAGTAGACGTAGCCGGCGCACCAGAGGCAGAGGACGGCGACCGCGACGTACGTGGAGCGCGACCTGGCGAGGCGCTTGAGGTTCTCCACGGTGACGAGGGGCCGCGCGGTGCGCAGACGGTATTCGCGGAGGACCTCGCGATGCGCGGGGTTGCGGGGATCGTAGCCGCCCGTGGGTGACGGGAGGGGTCGCCGAGCGGTCAGAGAGAAGAACCGAGGCTTCGCGGCATTTCGTGTTGTCGGGAGGGCGGGTATCCGCGCTCTGGGTCGGGGGAGGGTGGAGGGGGGGGGAACGCCGACGAGAGGGCGAGCTGGCGGCCGCAAGAAAATGCGGAAGGGGATCATGGCCGGACGCGCAACGGCGGGCGCCGGGGACGAGAGAGGGGGGGGGGGGGGGAAAGCAGGAGGCAGATGTTTTCGGCGGAAACGCTATGGGAAAGGAAAAAATGTGTCGGCGGTGGTGCCGTGGACCGGTCGGAAAACCGAGTTGTCGAGCATGAGCGTGAGAAGGTTAAGCGTCCCGTTGATGCCGTCATCTCGGAGCTTCGTGGGGAGCTAAGCTGGGGGGTGTCCGCGATAACGATAAGAGATGTATTTGGCTGAAGTCAACTCCCTCTCTCCACTTCCGCATCTTGTACCCTGTATCCGTACATCCGCAATCCTTCCTCCCGGAACGACCATGTGGCGTGCTGATTGCTGATTGCTGGTTTCTTCGATATGAGTGGACATTAATGCGAGAATCGTAAGCACTCAGCTCAGCACGTTGAGCCAGACATCTATTGTTGACAGTTGGCCATCCCCCCGCCCCCTCCCTCTGCGGCTTGTAAATGAGACATGACGGATCAGACCGGGTCAAACAGCCCTGTAATCAGCGTCTGGCTGAAGTGGAATCTATTTTCCACTCTCAAGGGCAACGCAACAACATTAAGCAGCCCCCCCCCCCCCCCCCACGAAACCCTTGCGCTCATCATCACGTCTTCTCTTCCACCGCCGTAACAGCGATCCCATGACCCGCACCCTCGACAGAGGCCGTCGTCTCCGCTCCCGGAATACCGCGGCGCACGATCGACACCAGTATCCCAGGACCTGCCTGCATCGGGTTGTCGGGGGTTGAAAAAAACCCCTTTGCGACCGTTGGCGATGTTCGAAAGTTCGGGCGGAGAGCTTTCTTTGCTCGTCGCCCGAGTCGTTGCGCCGTGATGCGCAGATAGTATAGCCTCCCATGCATTCGAAAACAAATCATCAAGTCGTTTCGTTTCTTTTCGTGTCATCGCTCGGCCTGGTCCCCGTCCTCCGACGGACTCCTTGGGGGGGCAATTTCGCCCGGGTATGGTTTACGGCCCCATACGACCCATACGTGCTGGTAGGCGTGTATGTGCATGTTGGAGACGTCTTTGCGCACGTCCACCAGCGACACCTGCCCAGTTTTCGTCAGCATATCAACGACCAACAGCATGCGCCACAGAGGGAGGGGAACCGACCTGCACCTCCTCCTGTTTTCTTCCCAGAACCTGCGTGAACAGGGCCATGCTGAGCCCGCCCAGCCCGTCGAGGTAGTTCTGCTCCCATAGCCTCCCGACGTGCTTGTGACGGGGGCTCTTTGCCCACGCGTTGATGGGCATCTTGAACGCCCGTTGCCGCACGTCGACGAAGCCGACCTCCTCGTACCATTGCCGCAGCAGGTGCGACCTCGACAGAGGGCGGCCGATGAGCTCGCTCGCATGGTTCATGTCGTAGACCCAGCGGGCCAGCGCGGCGTCCGGCTTCAGAGTGTCGTCGTCGCTGATGGCCTCGGCGTTGAAGTCCTGGGACTCGAGCCAGCCGCCCGGGCGGAGGGAATCGAAGGCCTGCTGGATGACCTCGCTCTTGAAATCGCCAAAGGAGCCAAGGAGGGAGCGGGTGTGGATGTAGTCGAAGGGGTCGGGCCATGCCCACGGCTGGGCGCTGTAGGCTGGTCAGATTGGGGGTGCAGGGCTTCTTCCGTTCCGATCCGGCTCCTACTCACGCGTCTTCGACAAAAAAATGAACGTTTGGCGGGACGGTGTTGCTTTGAATCGGCGAGAGGTCGACCCCAATTACGCGGGCCTCGGGGTACAAGTCTCCCATGTCCATGGCCCATGCTCCAGTCCCCGTCCCAACGTCAAGGACTCGTTTGGGGGAGCCTTCCACGGCGATCGGAGCAAAGTGTAACCTGCCGCCGAACAGTTCCGTAAGAGCTAGGGATTGCAGATCCAAGCGCTCCTGCTCGGCGGGGTCGTTGGGGAACACATAGGCTATAATTTCCATGAGCTCTCTACTCGGCCCCGAGAAGACACTGTGCACTTACAACCCGCTCTATAAGCGTGATAGGTCCTGCCGAAATGCCTGGGGAAACACCCGACATCGTCCGGCAGGGAGTCGGTCTCGCTAGATAACGATATTAGTGAAGTCTCATGGGGGCATATTGTCCAACTAGTGGCAGGCCTACCCCTCATGAGGATCGGGCTAGTGGAGTCTGTCAGTCACATTGGACGGCCAGTGGCGGATCAATGGGAGGGCAGTGATGCGTGATCAACATACGTCGACTTCTATCTGGCTGTCGTGCAGTAATGTCTTGTCGGGGATGGCTTCGAACGTGAACTCGAAGCCATCAAGGGGGCCATTGACGGTGCTCGGCGGGTAGAAGGACATGAGTGCAGCCGGCGGCATGGACAGGCGGACGGCGAGAGGGGGTCGAGGAGAGGCGAGCTCCACGGAGGCGACTGTCGCGCGGAGCGGCGCGGCGCGGCGCGGTGTGACGGGCCTTTGTATGGGCCAAGGTGACGGTTCCGGAAGGAACACAGCAATTGCGGCCGAGCCCAGGTTCGTCGAAGACTTGAACCGAACGAGTGGAGACTGAAGGCCAATGACCGGCTACTCGCGATTAACACAAGGAATGCCTGGACAAAGAAAAGGGTTTCCGTGTTGGCCAACAAACAAATACCGGCCCTGCAACGCGAGTTTTTCTTCGTCGAGTCTGTTGAAAAAGCGCCCGTCTCAATGTTGCGGAAGTCGTCCTGTTTTCCGGGTTCAAGACAAACGAGCCTGGCCAAGTGTGGGCGGGTTGGGCATTAAAGACTAGAGGGAGAGTAACAGAGTGAGGTGATGGGGCTACAGGTGAAGAGGTAAATCCCGAGGGCTCGCACATGCAAACAGCGCCAACTCTGAGGCGAAGGCGCAAACTTCGAACCCGAGCGGAAACAAAGTTTCGAGTACGGCGATCTTGAGGGAGCAGCAAGGAGGAAAGGGAGGGAGGGAGGGGGAAGCCATGGTTCTCTTTTGTGTGTGTGTGTGTGTGTGTGTGTGTGTGTGTGTGTGTGTGCGTGAGATGGCAAGCCAGTGAGAGGGCGAGTGAGTAAGTGAGCGAGTGCGTGCTCGGGCGCGATCCGGACAGCTGGGTAGCCAAACCAAGTCGGTCTGAGTCCACGAGGGCGGGAAAGGCGGGAAAGGCGGGAACGAAAACACGGGGACCCAGACCCAATGAACCGGTTGGGTTGGTTTGGTGGTGTTGAGTTTAGTCTGTTTGGTTTGGTTGTTGATACCAGCAGCACCCTGGGGGGGGATCTGACCCTGGACCCTGGGACCTGGAAATGCGGTTCAGCCTCCACGCGCTCTAATTCGTCTTAGCCGACCCTTGGGCCTCTCTAATCTTGAGGCGCTTTCTTCCCCGGTTTGCTACCAGAGTTACGGGAATGTGTTGAGTCCAAGGTACGTATCCAAGGTTGTTTGTAAGTTACCCGGGTATCGATCGGAGAAGAGCAGTTTAACGACTGATCCCTCCTTCCCTTCCCTCGGGATCTGCTTCAGTCCCCGTTGTCTTAGCCAGCAACCGCACACTCGGCATGTATTACTGGATGTAGTAGTAGTGCGGGCTGGCATTCGCCGTTGGTGCATGAGAAATAGGCGAAAAGAGAGGAACGCATGATGCGTGAATGCTTAGAACCAACAAGCGTGGTTCATAACATGCATACGGCTGCAGCAGACGAGGGGGGAAAGATACGGAGAGGATCGGCACTACAGGAACGATGCACAAACGCGGACCGCGGTCCAATGCGCACGAAGACGAGACAGGAAGAAGACGAGTTGCCCGCTTGTCGTCGACCAACGACATGGTTGCCCGCCTGCAGCGGCCACAGTTTACCGGCCGGAAAGTCATGGAGAGACAACAGAAGGAAGGGCGGCCAAATGTGATATGTGACCAATATGAAACGAAAGAAGAAGGAAAAATCCACTTCCTTATCACGACATGCAGCAATGCGGGCCAAGGTACATAAGGTACTTGGGTAGGTAGGTAGGTACACAGGTAGGTGCACACGTGGGACAACGTACTCCGCTCACTAATGGAGTCGTTGTTGCATCATCTAGGTGAGAGGCTGAGAGAGCCGTTCAGTCACCAGTGACTTACTTTACTTCCTAGGTTATTACGCCAATCCGAAAAACTCAGAGAATTGTTGGGCTACGACTTTTGACGTGAACCTATCCATGACATGCCGGCCGTATGTTGACTGGATAAGTTTACGTCCCATCATTACGCCTGTACCATTTAACACAAGGTGTCAACACAAGGTAGTTCAAGATATTCTGTCTACGCTAGAAACTGTTTATGCCTTAAGAGAAAATGTCACAGTCTGGTCGCAGAGGGAGATCGTCGAACTATACTTAGAAGGGGAGCCACAACGTTTGGATGTAGAATACGCAAATCCAATCATATGAGACTTTTAGAACGCTTACCGTTTACCCAGCTGGGGCGTGAGTCTTTATACACCTATTAATCTCTATAGGACTACAAAAGGGCTTGCTAAAGGACTAAACTTCTATAAAAGCGAAATATAGCTAAATGGAGATAATAGACTTAACATCTGTGTGGTAAACTCTTGCCTTGTCCTCTTTTTTACTTATTCTCCACAAGACTAAAGGGTTACAGATGTCAAAATTACATTTTCTCCTTAGTTGTCTAGAGAACGACTGGTTATCGACTACAATATTCTCCAACAGGCTAAGATAATGTATATTAGTCTACTATACTAGGTAGATACTGTGTTTAGGACCAGCAAGACACCTCCTCTCAAGGACTTTCTTGATGTTGCTTATAGGGAGACTAAACACAACTCCGTCAATGAAGAGCTATAGACCGCAATGCAGACATACAGATTCAATACTACAAGTAGAACAAGTAAGGAATTCCAATGAGAAAAAAGGTCAAGTAAGGAGGACCTTATTAGCTGCTTTCCTGATTTGTAATCATCCTTTTTCAAGTCTTTGAGATTGCGATTGTTACAGTCTGACAGCCGAATTCCAAGAAGTGCCGTCCGCAACCAAACCAGGCTTATTAACACCTCTCTGGGCGCCACTTTTGGCCACAGACCAAAGAAGTTCAGGAGGGGCATCATCAATCCTATATGCAGCCGAATGCAGTCCTGTCCTGGACCAAAAGCAGTCATGTACTTGCTAGTTGTGCTAGAAACACAAGGGAATGGCAGGTAGCGACGTATCCGTTGAGTGAAGTGGGCTGAGTTTGTTGCTCTGCCTTGTTGGCGCGTTGTCGTTCTCGATTAGCAGGGTCTTCGGCTTCTTGCAGAAGCCTGACCAGTTCCTGAATACTTCTTAATCCGCTCATGTGGCTATGACTGATGGAACGATAACAGTCGTTGTTCTAGAATTGTTGTTCAAGGGGAGAGAAAGCTGTGGTTTCTGTGATAGCCAACGCTATCTCCTTCGCCATATCCAGCTTGTGACTTCCAAAACCACCTCTGCTCTGAAGTTGGACCTCCCCGGCTCTCGGGTCCTGTACCCACCCACCCCATCCCTCTCTGCTGCTCGTCGAAGGTGGAGAGGAGATGCAATGTGCAAAACCAACCGTCCAAACGAGTGTCGTCGTCTTCATTGTTGTCGTCGTTGTTCCCCTTCCTCCTCCTCCTCCTCCTCCACGACCCAACCCACATGATGCACCCACTCGAAACCTCCTTCTCGTTCATTTTTGGAATAAGAAATGGTCATCTTCCGTCGATACCGCTCCGTCTCGTCTGTTTGCCTCACCAGGAACCGGCGTCTGTCCAGTCCCAAAGAGCTGGTTCGCCATGTGCCCCTGCATCCGCATGATTAATGGTATGTCACAAACTTTTTTTTTGGGGGGTCACACAGCCTGTCGCACCCTATCAGCGGCTCGCCAAATAGCCTACTGTATCCAGCCATCCCTTGCCGTGCGTATCGGGATGCACCGTATCACTAGCCTGTCGTATGCCTGGCCGGGCTAGGCCAGGCCGTCGAGAACTCCGCGAAGCGAGGTCAAAGGGGGGCGGCACTTTTGCGTAACATGGCTGCCGTGAAGACTTTCCCCAACAGGAGCGTCTCCTCCGTGTCCGCTGACAGGTGTCCCGTCTGTTCTGACCTACCTAGGCCGCGCGAGCCAACGAGCTGGTAGGCTCTCAGTCGAGTCATCTCATCCCTTGGGCGGGAACTGCGCCTCCGATTTCCGAACCGTTCTTTGCCCCCTGCTGGCCTATCCCCGAGGTTTTTCGCCAATGTCCGCGGTTTGGTCATACGTACACGTAGCTCTGATAAACAAGCCAAGTCCGATATGAGACTCATGCATAATGCGGTAATTGCCCGTTTCCGGAAGGACGACTGGTTAGCCGCTTCACTAGGCCGTCCAAATTCCAGCGTTCTTCTGCGCTTGTATGCGCTTGCTTCTGGCCGATCCGCTCTTCACTTGGCGACTCGTGTTATCAGATGCGTACGGAAAACTCATTGCCCTTTCCGGGACATTTTGGCATTCGTCACGAACTCCTCAAAGCTCGTAGATTCTCTGCTCTCCTCGATGGTACCGTTGATGCGCACAACCTCAGACCAACCTCTGACGAGTGCTCGCCAGTAACAAACTTCGGCGGCCGGGCTCATGTATCCGCGTTCGAAGGAGATGGCCCGCTGCCGACGGGCGATGCCGCGAGACACCTCGGCGTGTCCCTCCAACCAGCCGATTGTCGCTTCGAGGTCGGACCAGTCCGGGTTGACGAAAACTGCGTTGGCTTCGCCGGGGCTGACCGTCGCAGGCCATGCCTTCCTCGCCCTCGAGGACGGGTACCCGTCTTCGGGTTTCGTCGTCACGGCGCCGCCGTCATGGTGTCTCTCCTGCTCCTGACCCAGCAAGACGCTGGAGTATACGGGCTTGATGAGGTGTGTCGTGTGTTGCATCCACTCCATAGGCGGACTCAAGAGCACGCTTTCGCACAGCTGGTGAAATTGCAGACGTCCAGAGTACGACACTCCTTCCGTGTGAATAATGTACTTGTGCCGGCAAAAGTCCTCGATCATGAGAGCGTTCGTGGCGTTTTCCCCGCTATCGACCCACTCCAAGGCCTGTACATCTGCCCATGAGGCATCCTTGGTAATCCTCAGCAGCTCTTGTCGCGACCTTGGGTTCGCACTGGCACCGTTGTTGAACCAAGCGGTTCCTCGCCACACTGCACGCCGGTCCTTCATATCGAAGGGAAGGCTAGCCTCGATATCGGTGATCGCGGCAGCTGCGTGGGGGATCGAACGGATGAAGGGCTGGTTCCATGCCCAGAAGGAGAAATGGGGCATGGTAAATATATGCCTTGGAGAAGGAGACATGGCAGGTCGGCTGTGGGACCAGGAAAGTGATGCGGGGGTATCTTGGACATGGAGGTTGAAGAACGTGTCGGGTAGAAGGGTCGGCGAGGTCAGGAGCGCTCGGTTCAGCTGTTGAAGGGCCGCGTTTTGCCTCTGACACCTGTAAGCTGCTGCTATATGTTCTTACGGGATCAGAGGGCTCGGTATTCCGCCTACCTCCAGCCACTGGTCTGACATATCCACCGGTCTTGGAGCTTGGAGGATCAGTATCTTGTTATCCTTGATCTGTCCCAGCAGTGATACAGAAATGTCGTTGAGACCGAGTTGGAAGTCGCCATCCGACACGGCCATGTCTATCTCTTTGGTCAGGCCAGGAAATGTGACTCGGCATTGTTCCTCGGTCAGACGAAGGCTGTTGAAGTTTACCCCAGTTCCAGCTGAAGGGCCAGAATTCGACTGTTGGGCCAGCAGGTAGTCGAACGGTCGCCCTGTCAACCGGGTCCGAAAACTGCTCCGTGGGAAGAAAAGCTCATAGGCGACGAGGACCAGGGTCGACGCCATGATAACGGGCCAAAGCAGTCGCGCAGCCTGTCTTTGGTGCATTTTGCGTTCCTGGCTGGACCGTCAAGCGAGGCTACCGTGAGCTGACAGGGAAAATTCGCGGTGGAAGTGAGTTGGGGCACCTAGGTCTGAGGAGATACCCGCAAAGGACATGACGGGTCAGTTGGGGAACGAGAGTTCCATGTTCTGGTAAAGGGGGTGGCCGAGCTGACCCGCGAGCACCTGGAGGGCGCAACATGCTGAGCGGGCTTCGAAGGAAGAGGGTTTGGAGTATACCCTGCGACGCAGAGTACCGGAAAAGCGACAGAACCAACTCCGGAGACACAGGCGCCGTCCTGGCAGCGCTATGCCAATGATCACTAGCTGTGCCGGGCGGGGCCGGATGTTCGGCATGCGAGGTCACTCGAGTGTCCAGTCAAGAACAAGCCCCTAGTAGACGTTGCGACGGGACCAAAGAGCTAGCGGACCTTCCGTAAGAGGAACCAACACTTTCGGAGGTGTTCATGGTTATGGCCTGATCCATCTGCCAGGTGAGCTGGTTATTGGCACGAGATGTCTCAGAAAGGACATGGTGCGCCTGCAGTGACGTGAAAGGATGCTGTCGAGCGGGGTCCGTTGGTGCGTACCAGTCTAGAATTTACCCTTGAACCTACCCAATTTGGTCCACCAATCATCTTATACGTCAATATAAGTTCATCTTAACCACTAGACTTTCACTGAAAACCATACACACTGCTTTGCATCAGGTGGATTTCTCTAATTCAGCTAATGCCCTGAAACTCACTCTGCGTCGCCTGGGGCGAAGGGACAGTAGCAACTGATAAAGACGCTGGTGTTTGATCACAAAACGTTTGCTTCTAGTCTCTCTTGACAAGGACGCCAAGCGACGGTTGAGACATGTTTCGGTGGCGGTAAATAACCGCGGAGATCTCGTGGGAGAGAAAGAGAGTGAAAGGGTCGTTGTACGGATGTACGATGTACGGGTAGCGGTAGAATGCCAGTGTGATTTAGTCGGCGGCCTGTGAGTTAAACCTATTTCGGAATACATTATGTCAGCGCCAGCAAAAACAGTATTCCGGCTTAACTGACCAATAAGAAGGTCAAGATTCAGAAAGTTACATAAAGTTAAAAACTCTTTAGATTTAAGTAATTCAAAGTCAAGGCAAAATAGAGGCAACAGCTACAATTAATTTAAAAATCTATTATATCATGTGACCTGTTTAATTAAAGGGTAAAACCCTTATTGCGATAGTAAAGTCGTATGCGTTGCTATTGCTCTTTGAAGGTTAGATATAAGGGCTTAATCTTGGGCATCGTGGGCGTCTGTTGGCGATGGTGGATTTGCGGCAAAAAGGGCGTTTTTTGCATGGGTTATGGACGTGGGCAGTGGCGGTGGTGGCAGTGCCTTCCTAAATAGGCTTAACTCACCGGCCGCCGACCAAATCGCACTGGCATTCTACCGCTGCCCCGATGTACATCCGCCAAACAAAGCACTGAGAGCGCTCGGACCCAGTTTTCCCGGCCCGTCCCGGACACGTCGTCCCACTGCATTCCTCCACCTACTTTACACAATTGTGTCTATGCCTCGCCGTGGTGAGTCTTTGGTTCCTATTGGGTTTCTTAACCCAGTTGGCCCCTCGGACGTGTTGGGTCGACTATTTGCTTAGGCGGCCGCGTGAATTACCGACAACCGTGAGAGTGCTCTTGGTCTGCGATCCGTAGTACTAGGAACGATAAACGACTTTGGCTGCCGTCGTCGCCACTTCCCAGCCGAGCACGTACAACAGATCGATTTGAACCGACCGGCGTTTGCGCGACGACGCTTCGGCCGAGAGTTGCGGGCTCCTGGCGCTAGTGCCGTCATATGCGCTTTGGGTCCGGGAAGAGCGCACTGGGTTGGGCTTGTACCCGGAGGACTCGGTCGCCCGGACTCCCTTGGTCGGGGTCACCCTAGGAGAGCTGCTCACCGAGTAAGCTGCTCCAACATTTCGTCCTAGTACTGGTTCGCAGCTTGTTCGTAAGGATAAATCACGGCATTATTCTAACGTACGGTTGTTAGATGGAGAGGAAAATGAAAGTTCACGTGTCGATGGAAATATCCGTCCTTCTCGCAAAGCTAACCCGAAATCCCAAAACAAGCCACCCTGCTGCAGTACCCCTAACCCGTCCCGTCACGCCTCACCAGACTATTTCGTAGAGGCAGACGTGTGGCTCACGTACAATCGACGCCATCGGCGAAAGCAAAGGCCGTGTCGGCAGAGAGGCGACCTCCATAACCCATGTCAGCACGGCTGGCGACAACTTGTTCCCCAAGTCGTACTATCACCCCTCACAGAACAACGTTATGGACACGCAGGCAACTCACTCTACTGCCGTCGCTATCCACTACTACGCCAAAGAGTTCCTAGACAGGGGATACACTGCGCCTATCTACTATAAGTTCTAACATGCTAGCTAGCTGTAGCACTGCTTCCTTGGTCTTAACACTGCTGCTGTTGTAGACGTTAACATAGGAATAAACATTAATAACCTTAACGTTATAGAGTCCACTGAACGCTCTTATGCCTAGCGTAAGTATTAGGCGCTTTACCTAGTTAACATCTCTAACGAGGTCTTTATTAACCTTATCTATATTATTACTAGTGTCACTGCGCCAAAGATATGCCCCTACTAGCGGCTTGTCCTTAAGAGCCTCTTAGAAGCTAAGGGCAACGTTGTATACATCGCTAGTACTAGTGCTAGCAAGAGCGTTGCCTTCCTCTTGCTATTAACTATCTTCTTAACAGGTGTTACTGTTATAGTTATTTCCTTAATTACGCTATAGAAGGAGATTATTGCGCACTTTAAGAAGGCTTAGGTAACTGTCTACGTTTAGGAACTAGACTCCCCTGACGCCATCTGTAATAAAATAACTGTTATCGTCATCAGCCCAGAGCAGCTTGGCCACCAAAAGTAGAGGTCCCTCGTCTACTCGCTCAACAACAGCTACGCCATCAACTGTGTTATCGTCGACGAGGCCTACCTCATATTTGGCGTGAACGCCACCTTTTGTCCCCTCCTCCTCGAGATGGGTGCCATGACGGCGATGGTCTGCCGGCGGAGGTTGTTTATTACGGCGACGCTCCCTGCATGGCGGAACAAGGGTGGTGGAGTCACGCTTTTCGCCATTGGCATGTGGCGGTTTGCTGGGTTGGAAGGAACTGGCCCTGGATATTGCCGCAGTAACACAAGTCGGTCGAGTATTTATTGGACAACCCCACCAAAAACGAGCAAGCACGCATCCTCAAATAGAGATAAAGAGCGAGGAAAGTAAAACAAAGGGCGCGGCTGCTTGCTTGTCATTCTCCGGCCTGCACCGACGGGCTACTGCCGTCCACCAGCCAACAGGCAGACATCTATCCCAGTTCACGATCGCCTTGGCAGCGACAGCTTTATTTCGACCATGCCCAACATTCTCGACGGCCTTGGGATATCGGACCTGAAGACTGCTATTGACTGTGACTAACGTCCCGTCATATAAGCGAGATATATTCGTCGTCACGTGGGTCAACTAATACCTGTCTGGTTCCGCAATATGTTGGATTTCAAACCGTCACTGTCAATCAGTAGTTGACAAATCGGAAACGCTACTTGGTGGAGCTAAGAAGCATGCTTCATTCAAATGTATCACTTTTCGCTTATAAATGACGAGCTGGCGAGTCCAAAAACATCATCAAACAAAAGAATTAAAATTGTTGCATCGTGCAACAAACACTACGTACAGATATCTTGCGCCGGCATGCAAAACAATGCGATGCTTCGCGGCTTAAGCCAAGCAGCATTGCTGTCGCTGGGAATCAGCTCCCAAAACTGTGCCTCTATCGTGCAATCCACTGTCCTAGAAGCCGGAAACGCTCGAACTCCAGGCGTCAGTGGTAGACCAACGAAACGGCGGCCAACCCGCACATCAAATCTAGCGCCTCATGTGAATCAAGAATAAGTGCTCTCCGAATATCATTTGTACATCCAGCATAATGGCTGGGCCATCCGCGTGGCTGCATTTATTACAACAAGAAGGCACCGAACATGGTGAACATGGCGGCGAGACCAGCAATGGCCAAGGGGGCCTTCTCGATGGGACCACCGAAGGTCATGCCAGCAGCAGCGTTGGAAGAACCAGTAGACTTGCCGCCGGAAGAGGTGGGGGAGGGAACACCGCCAGTAGTGTCGCCATCGGAAGCGCTGTCGCCGGCAGTCTGAGAGCCATCGCCCTTCAAGCCGGGACCTTCACCGGCACCCGCAGTCATGTACTATTTTAGTGTTAGCCAACCGCTCCTCCATTGTGAAATTCAGCCACGACAAACCTTCTCGGCCGCCTCAGGCATAGTAGGGATCTTGGTAGGGTCGGCCATCCAGACTGAGTCGGAGGTAGGGCACGAGGCAGCGGCGTGCGAGGTCTTGGCAGCACCGGCGTCATCAGTGGGGGCAGGGTACTTGGACAAGGCGCTCTTGAAGTTGCCGTACTCCTTAAGCTCCTCGACGTTGTTTCCATCGATCTGGACGATGCCGTACTTGTTGGCCTCCATCGAGTACTCGTACATCATACCTCCCGAGTAGACACTCGTCATCTCGCTGCTCATCAAGGCCTGGATCTCACCGAAGTCACGGACGTTGGTGTTGCAGCCGTACTCGGACAGGCTAGAAAAGGTTAATATCGTCATAGTGTGACGAGGGGGTTGGAGCTGGCTGCTTACAAAATGGGGATACCATAGTCAGTGAAGTTCTTAACCTTGACGTCCCAGCCAGACTCCTTGAAGTTGGAGCTGCACCACGAGTAGTCGTTGAAAGCGAAGAAGTCGCTGCGAGCATCGTCGCTACCACAGTTGAAGTATTGAGCGCTCTGCATGCGGTTGTCGGCAACATCAGCGGCAGAGTAGCCGACGGGGACATGGCGAAGGCCGCGGGAGGCCATGTAGTTCTTGATGTCACGGGTGACGGCCTTGACGTAGGGAGCGGTCAAGGTGGTGTTGGCTTCATCGTGAATGACCTCGTTTCCGGAGAAGAAGGCCAGAGTGTTGTCGTACTTTGCGAATTCCTCGACGGTGGCAAAGACACTCTGGAGGTAGACAGCATTGTAGGAGGGGTGGGGGTCAGCGCGGTTAATGGAGTATTTGGGGTTGTTGACGTCGGCAACGAGGTAGATGCCAGCGTCGGCGAGCATCTGCATGCACTCCTTGTGGTCCTTGGAGTTGTCGACGCTGTAGACACGGATGGTGTTCACGCCGAGGTCCTTGAACTTGGGAATATCACGACCGCAAATGGTGGTATCAGCCAGGGGGTCGACATTCTCGGACGAGCCACCGGGCTGGTAGTCAATACCACGGATGAAGAAGCGAGCGCCGTTAGCATAGAAAGCTATCGGGTCACGTGTTAGTCAACTGAATCAGATGAAATAGCGTACGACTCGTGAAGCATACCATTGCCGGAGACTTCCACTGCGGGGACAGAGCGGGCCTTGATGGGTGCCTCGCGCTCAGTAACAGTGGGCTTCGCCGTGACGACGGTCAGGACCGTCAGGGCCGAGATAGCGGCGAAGGACTTCATTGTGTATGTCTGTAGGGTCCAAAAGATTTGCTCAAAAAACCAAAGGAGACGATGGTTGAGCAGTGCCAAGCGGTAGATGTCCCGAAAGAGTGAGGGACAGTTTGGAGCGACGGAAAGGTGATGACGGATTCAGGTTCCAAAAGGGTGGTGATTAAAAGGGCTGGTCGGTTGCTGAAAGGTAGATGGTGAAAAAGGTCAACCAAAGCGAGGGAGTTGACTATTTGATTTGATCGAAAGGGAAAAATGGCACGCTCGAGACCCGGAAGGCGGAAACGAGAGGTCGGCTAGGGCGGGATGGAATGACGAGAAAGAGAGGAATTCGAGGTCGGGCGGGAACGAGGGACTTTGATGATTAAAAACGGCGTGGTCGACGGTGGTGGTGCTTCGTATACGAAGGTGCGAATTCCTATCCACCCTTGCCTTCCCTTGCCTTCCCTTTCCACCCTACCCCCCTTCCATCTTCCACCTTCCACCTTCCACACCCGCACCCACACCCCCCAGACTTTCTTGCTCTAAAGGTGGGACATTCACCACATTGCACAACGTCTCTTGCTGGCCGCCCCGGTCCAGCTCCCATTCCCTGCCAAGGAAGGACCGACAGGAGATGTGGATGGTGGGTCCAGGGCAGAGGGGAAGGAGCAGTCGTTCATTCGTTTAGTGGGTTCAAGTCACTCCTTTCTGTCTGACAACCGAACCATGGCTGGCTGGTGACAGGCTGACAGCCGCTGCTTGGACGCGTCTCCTGGGAAGACAGTTGCAAATTCAGGGGGAATTGGGAGGCGTGACTAAAGTGATATATACGGTCGAGGGTGTGTCTACGACGACTGAAGGTGGGATGGGTCTAAATCGGGCACTTGGCGCCGTATAATCAAGCTTAATTGGTTGCATTGCAATAGTTCAATTAGACCGGGCGTTACGGACACCCCGGTCTGTTGTCCTACCGTGGTTGTCCCCTTCGTGTCCGTAGGTACCTGCCTAGCGTAAACACAATTCCTATCCCATCGGGCGCGAACGGACCTCACTAACCTATTGTGGATCCCCCTCCACTTTTACCCCTCACTTTCAGAGATACATGACGATACCTTGTTTTAGAATACTATTTTATTAGCAACCACTACTAATTTCAATATTATTACCAACATCCTTATTAAAATCTATAATATCTAACTCTAATACCTCTATTTATAGTACTATCTATATAGAGGTGCTGCTAAAGGACTTTGCTGTTGCCTGCCTAGATAACTACTGCCTAGAGTAGTGTAATAACGTAATAATCTGGCCTAATAAGCCTCTGGTAGACCTAGGCCCTCTAGGCTTCTTTATCCCTTTTAAAGTACTAGACTAGTAGCCTAAGGTCTATAGGCTTTCTAGTTTTAATACACTTATTAACCTCTTTCTCTATTATATACCCTTATAGTTAATTTAATAGTAGGTTAATTAGATAAATACTATACTATTATCTAAGGCTAGCCCTTATTAATAAAGGTTATATATATATTAATAAAGAGATACCTTTACTAATAAGATTTATCTTTTCTTTAGTGTTTTAATTTATATAAGTATATACCCTAAATCTTAAATCTTAAGATACTAGTTAACTTAATAGTATAGTAAAGACCTATTATACCTATTTATATACTTTATAACCTAGGACTACTTTTAGTAACTTTATACCTAGCTTTAGATATTTAACTCTTTTAAGTTTATAACTTAAAGCTAGTAAAAGAAGGGTAAAATACTAGATATATATTAGAAGGTTAACTAATAGTTAGTTTATATCTAGGTAGCTAGAGACCCCCTCTATATAGCTAGCTTTAATCTTACTATTAATAAGGTAATAGTCTAGTTTATAGGCTAAAGCTAAGAAATAATAACTATCCTAATAAAGCTAATTTTAACTAGCTTTAAGGTATAGGTCTTTGCCTAATCTAGGTACTCCCTTTAGTAGCTTTAGTATATATATAGAGAAGGCCTATATAGGCTTCTTCCTAAAGCTTTACACCTAGCTAGCTAACTAGTAGACTAGGTAGCCTAGCTTATGCTAACGCAGTAGGTAGTTATAGCCTTTTTTGCCCTACTACTAGCAGTAATATATTATATATTTCTAGATAACCTCTTTACCTTAGTTTAGCTCTTCTAGGCCCTCTAGAGCTAGTAAGTTAAAGCCTTTAGTATATACTAAAAAAACAGTAGTATTAATGCTATACTTATTACTAAGAAAAGTATAGAAGGCTAAGGGATCCTATAAGGCTAAATATACTTTATTCTTACTACTAATAGGCTAGTATATATCTTTAAACTAGATTAATATATAAATACTTATACTAACTAGTTTACTTTTTTATAGGTTAACTAAATTACCTAGAAGAATAATACCCTTATACTTTTCTTTTTAATAGTATATAAAGGTAGCTAGGTAGACTATATAATCTAGTAGTACTACTAGCTAGCTAGTAAGACAGTAGCTAAGTAGACTACCTAAGAGGTCTTTAGCCTAGATGCCTAAAAGGACCTTCTAGTCCTTTAGCTAATAGATAACTATAACTATAATATAAATAAGGTAAATATAAGTAACTAAATAAAAGTATTATACTTCTTTAATTACTATATATATTAAGGATCCTAGTAAGCTATTACCTAGACCTTTCTACTTAAAGTTATTATTATTAATACCTTTTATCTCTAGCTAAGAGGAGACCTAAAGTAGCTAAAAGTTATAAACTAATATTAATAGTAGTAACTACTTTCTTGCTAGCTTATTTAATAGTTTAAAGTATTAGTAAAAGGTTACTAGGTTTTACACCCTTAGTAATAGTCCTATAAACAGAAGACTAATCTTTTATTATTAGACTACTAGTAAAGGTTATAAAGAAAGGCTTTACCTTACTTCTAGTGTAGTATATAGTAATAGGCTAGTAATAACTAGCAACAAAAAACCTAGCAAGGTTGCTTAGATTATAATATACCTTTATATAAAGGTAGAGATTATTAGTACTTTTGGCATAGGTAAAACGCTATATAAATAGAAGTACTCTAAAACTATTGGCTTTTGGCGTTAATTGCTGTGGCCTGATTTGCTTCTACCCCTCACCGGGGTTAGTGAGGTCTGTTTGCGCCTGATGGGATACAATACCTAGGTATACGGATACCTCGCACACACAGGAAAGCTGCCTACTAGTAGGTAGTTATTGCCAATTGGTGATGTAATTCTGCTGCGTCGCCCAGCGTCGGGCAGTCCTTACACCGGAGCGCACGTTGCACCGGCGCGTCTAGGCACAGCCGTCGCCCGCCTTTCCACCACGTCGGTCGTCGACCTCTGGGAGCATCCCAATAGATAATCCCATGCCAAATACTCCAATCGCCCATCGCACCCGCTGAAACGCAGCAAAAACGACGATCGAATTTTCCCGTCATTGGCTCTGTTGTGCGACCGCTGATGGCGCGCACACACACTGCCGTCTCGCCTCCTGGTCCTCAATTGGCCGTTGTTTTCCTTCCCGGTTTTGCTCGTATCAAGCTCATGTTCATCACCCCCATCTGACATGGCCACTGACACGCGTCCATGCCAGGAAGCACACCAACACTCCACACCCAATGCCTCTGGCTGAAAGAGTTGAGCTTCTTGGCTGGGCGACATCCCGCTCGCAGCAAAGGGGGAAAAGAATACTAAGAAACAAAAGTTGGAAGCAGATACCGGCTACCATCGCCATCTACTTAGCAGGAACAACAAACAGCCAACCTTCAAGGTGGTATTACTACTGACTTGCTCGGGGCACAGGTGCGCAGACACCTCCTTGCCGCACTCCACCCCTTTTCCGAACGAGACATTAGGACCCAGCCGCTCCAGTCTTTTTGCCCCATTGAAAGGCTACATTACGTGCACTGCCACAGCGATCAATGGAGGCCCTTGCCTGCCCTTCCGATTCCACGTTCCTCTCGTCACCACCTGGGAGTCTGGTGTGTTCCTTCCACATCCGGTCCTTCAATTGGACAAGGCACGTCTGCCCTTCCCGGGAATGGCTCCCAAGCTCCAAGAAAAACACAAGCGGCTAAGGAAATGGCCATGTCAAGATTCACCTCGCTTCGCTGGCGATCTATACAAATGCATAGTACAGTAGAATGCCACGCCGCGCCAGTCCACGTCAACACTGCCACCGAGACCCAACCTCCACACCGGTCTGGTCTGGTCCGGTCCGGTCTCTTGCTCTCTTGGTCTCCGTGACAGAAACATTCATGGACTCATCAATCTCTCCATCCGCCCTGACCAAATATCCGCTACGACTGCCACCGTGAGATATTCAATGCACAGGATCAAAGTTCCGATCCATGGTCATTTTCTGGGCCCGTCGTCAATTCCACCACCCCACGTCAGTCTCGCCCTACTCGGCATGCCCAGTTTCCAACCCTACCTCGACGTGACACCGCATAGATTGGATCCTCGTCTGGGTCCCTGCCTGGCCCGTGATACCAAGAAAAGAAACAATTATCACGACCGTTGGTCGATGGCCCGGATGCCACACCAACCACAGGACCTTCCCTCCTGTTTTTGTCCGCTCCTGTTGGCCGAGGCCAGGAAATCGTTCGCCAGTCGTGTTGCTCTGAAAACACCATATCACAAACGTCTTATTTGGCCAGGACGAAAGATTCTTTGCCCTACGGTCTCCAAACATACAAATTCAACGCGGCGTTGGATAGGGTTACCCGCCGCCGTCCGATGCAGTCAGTCTCTGGCACATACGAAATTGCGTTCCCAGCTTTTTCTTCCAAATTAACCCCCCCCCCCCCCCCCCCCCTACCCTTCCGCCCTGTCGCACCGCACCCAGCACGTATATCTCTGTGACATCCTTCAGCGGAGTTCCTCAGGGGGCTATCCTGTCCTCGTCGGCCAACCTGATTGGCGCTTGGTCAGGGCTTGGCCCGTCTTGGGAAGTCTTCTGCTCATACCGGTCACCACGCCACCGCCTTGGCTTTTGCATTTGCTTTTCATCCCGCTGCGTATGCCAACCGTCTGCTAAGTTGACAGCCAAGTTGGCGCTCAGGAGACAGTCCGAAAATGGCATTTTCCTCAGGAAATTAGCACTCGGCATAGGAAGGAGGCGCCGGGCTGGGCAACACATGACAATATGGCCGGCCCAGTCAGACAGACAACCGCAGTGCCATCTCGATGCTAGGTCTCCCAGGCCAGCATTCTGTCCAAAATAGACCGTTTGCTCCTGCAAACGTTCATCCCCCGCAAAAAGGCCCGTGGGTGGGCTCTCGCAGTGAAGGCGGGTGTGCCTGCGGACTAGCAGCGGGATGGCCGGCTGGATCTCCCCGACGATCCCCTCCCATCCATTCTATTCCGTTTGGCCTCGAATGGAAAGACCACAGTCCCAAATGAGGAGCCCTGGCAGCGTGCACGATGCCGCAAGCCGTACGGCTGCAGGGGCTCGCCAATTGATACCAA